ATGCGGACTTTTCTAGATAGAAACCAGACTCTGTCTGGACCATGACATCATTCTGACATCATAGGTAGGAGCTAGGCTCAGGCACTAGGCCATAGGCCGGTCAATTCTGGACCCTAGGCCCAGGGCAGGGCAGGGCCAGACTATGACATCATATATGACATCATAGAGCACATGATACTTAGTAATCCTTACTTGGCTAGGTACCAGGGGTCCATTACCGGTCTCTGGGGGGTTTTCCCTCATGTATATAAGGCAGCATCCTGGGGCACCCTGTCCCCCAGTTCTATTCACTTTGTTGTTGCGCTTAACAGCATTACCTCCCCCACACTTAAGTGTTACTATCTCCCCCCCTTACCATCAAGCTATAAGGTGGGTTTATAGGTTTTGTGATAGTTGAATAGAACTGCTTTAAGGTGCACTGGGCCCTGGCAAGGGTCCCTTGCTACCTGCTTTGTTACAGGGCCTATTGGTCGTTGCTATGCCCCTATGCTGCAAAGCGTAAGGTGGCCTTTTCATGTGGGTTCTGGGGGTTATGGTTTGTCAACCCAAAGTGGCAATACCTTTTTGCGAAGCACCTACCTTTATTGGTCAGGGTTGAACAATTGGTGTCAACATGCTGAGCTTTTCGCCAGTCCCTAGGCGTAAGGGGAGGTTGCTGCCTTATGGGCAACATGCTGGAATGTGGTTTACCATTCTATGAGGCCTTAGGGCTTACAATGGATAACCAGCATGGGCAGCCTTAGGGAGAGTGTAAGATTCTTCCAAAACCACTTGCAGTGGGCGTGGAAACCCGACTGAGATCTGTATTCCCCCCTCCCTACCTGCTGAGAGAGAGCAGGAGGACGCCGACACGAAGCACGACCAATGGACCCTGTAGTATAGCACATACCCTTTTCTTCATTCTGAAAAGAGCCAGCTGAAAAGCTGTTATCTAATCCCCTCTGCCGTAGCCATGCCGAAAGTCAAACCTTTCATTGTCACTGCCAAGCACGAGCCGACAGGCCTGCTTGAGTGTATCACCATCCACAACATGCACAAGTTCGACGACGTTGGCAAACCTTGCCGAATTGTACGCCCCACCATCAAGCCACTCATTCGCTGCCCCTTCAACCCTGAACGTGCTGAAAAAGCGAAACACGACATTGAGGAGCTTGCACTTTGCATGCATCTCTTCAAGAAGCAACAGTTGCTCGATCGTATCTCCAACCCCGCTCCCCCCCTCATCGATCACATCGATATGTAGGCGGGACCCTCCTATGAATACGAACCACCCAAGCCACTCCCCAACATTCACTTCCAGCGCATGAAGATTCTGTTGTGCACATCTGAGTACAACGAGATGTTTGCCGCTACAGCCGACAGGCTGGAACCGGTGTTCGCTCGGATGGAAAAGGAAGAAGGAAACTTGGAGCCGGAAGTTGTGGCAAAGGTCAGGAGGATAGGTGATGGGTTCGACAAGTTGTATCATGGGCTGGAGAAAAAGGCATGCCAGCTTACCAACAGGCACTGGAGAGTTATCAAGCGCAACCTGAAAAGGATCGGGCATGTCTCCTTTGAGGACTTAAGCAGTCGCCTGCTGGAGATTTGTAATGAGTTGGCTAGCCTAAACATCATCTTCAAGTATGAAGTGTAGATAGTGGAATAAAGATTGGCAATCTTTTTTGGCATAATTGGCTTATATGGCATGAGAAGGAAATCTCCTTTGCTTCACTTTTTCTTTCAATTATAAGTGAATACGGGCTAATCACTACAATAAGAAATGACCCCATACATTCCCTTTGTTCCAACCGAAGCATTCGCTATCGCCATGGAAGAAGAGTGGCACAATGCAATCTTCCAGAACGTGAACGTCTCTGACGAACAAGCAGCTCTGCTGCAAACAGTTCCTGCGAATGCCGCAAAATCGACCACTGGACGAGTCAGAGACTGGATTGGTCGCCTGACCTTAGAAATAAGCAGGCACTACGACGGATACCTTCAGAGCCTCCTTCGAGAGGTTGAATCCCTGCACATCACGGTCCAGAATCAGCAGGCACTAGTTGATTCCTACAAGCGACAAGTCGATGCGCTACCTGCGTCAACGGGTAGTGGTCATTCCCGTCAACCTAAGATTGGGGAACCTCCGGCCTTCAAGGGCAGTGAGGATAAGACCAAGCTTGAGGAATGGCTGAACCTGATCGTACTGTGGTGCGAGCATGAGGGAGTGGCCACTGACAAACAGCGAATTGTCACGGCCCTCTCGAAGCTGCAAGGACCAGCTCATCAGTACATGAAGAGCTACTATGTGAAAATGCGGGAAGGAAAGGATCTGGGCACCTGGAAGGCATTTGTGGCAGAACTAGCCCAGATATACGGGCAACACAATGACAAGGAGGGTGCAAAGAAGGAGATCACGGCTCTGTTCATCAATAAGGATCTGGCCTCGAAGGACTTCGTGAAGTACGCTGAGAGGTTCCACACCCTTGGACATTTCACGGAGTATGACGATAGTCTTCTCATCGACAAACTCCGGGAGGTTATACCTCGTGACATGCAGTTGGTGTTGGCTAGAAAGAACGAATCTACCTTGCCAAAGGATTGGACATTGTTCCTCGACATCTTGCTTAACATCAACAAGATCGTCAACCTGGAGAAGACATGAGGCTCGGTATTCAAGAACAGTGGCTCGGATAATGGCGGCGCTGTTCCCATGGACATCGATTCGGCTGAAAAGTCGAAATCGAAGGGTCAAGGAAAAGGCAAGACAAAGGACGCTGAGGCCGCCTCGACAGAGGCAAAGAAGTATTGCGTCATCTGCAAGTCGAAGACTCATAACACAGATGATTGCTACAAGTTGGCCAAAAATGCGGACAAGCGGCCGAACACCCAAAGGGATGGCACAAAGAAGGTGCAAGGAGGAAGCGGTAATCCTGCGGCCAAGAAGGCTAAGAAAACGCGGGTTATTCAAGTTAAGCTTACGGATAGCGAGGACAACACGCCCCCGTCCACAAAAGCTGTGAGCGCCAACACTGCGAGAATCGAGGAGATTGTGGAAGTCGAAGAATCGACTCTGGCTGGGAAGGATGAACCCCAGCTATCTGCAAAGACAGAACCCACCGCAGCTACCTCGGATTTTTGGAAGAAGTACATGTGACTACCTGCGAACATGTACTTAAGGAATCGGCACCCACTGTCGGAATCAATGTAGATAGTGTACACAGCATTGTAAATATCTCTCGCAACAAGAATTCATTCACTCTGCCTGTGACACTGTGGGTATACAGAAAGAAAGTGCAGGTCGAAGCTTTGATAGACTCAGGGGCCACAACATCATTCATCAATTGGTCAGTTGTTGAAAGTAACAGCCTGGTGACACATAAGCTGGCAACCCCGTACAACATTTATAACACAGACGGGACCTCCAATAAAAGCGGCCAAATAAATAAGTCCGTTAGAGCCTACGTCGAAATAGGATCACATAAGTCGACACACCCACTGCTAGTCGCAGATTTGGGGAGTAAGGACATGATCCTCGGCATGACCTATCTCAGGAAACACAATCCTGAGATCGACTGGGCCAAAGGGGAGTGGAGGTACACCAGGTGCCCTGAGAGCTGTGCCCCCAAAGCTCGTAAAACTAATCGTGTGACTAATGAAGAAACCGATGAGCTTCAGTTACCAAGGGAGGAACCCTTAGTCACTCCGCTGAATGCCTTAGGAGAGGAGTGTACTGAAAATCCATATATCAACTGGATCTCGACAGACGATCCTGAGGACCTACAAATGGCAGAATTTGTCGCAAGCATTCTGAACAAGAATGTTGAGGAGGAGGATGCGGACACCACCAAGTGGAAGTCTCTCATCCCTGAATATCTACACGAGTTCGGGGACATATTCTCACAAAAGAAATTGGAGCGGATGCCGGAGCGCAAACCATATGATCATGGTATTGACTTCGAGGAAGGAGCTGCCCTACCTCGACCGGCCAAACTATACCTGATGTCTCCAAAAGAGAGGAATTTTCTCGATGAGTGGATCAACGACGAACTCTGAAAGGGGTATATTCGAAAGTCCAAAAGCCCGCTAGCCTCTCCTGTTTTCTTTGTCAAGAAACATGATGGAGGGCTTCGTTTAGTTGTGGATTACCGGAAGATCAATGACGTAACTGTGAAGAACCGTTATCCAATACCCCGCATAGCAGACTTGATTGATACACTCAGTCAAGCATTGATATTCACTAAGATTGATCTGCAATGGGGATACAATAATGTTCGCATCCGGAAGGGTGATGAATGGAAGACGTCTTTCATCACACATCGAGGGCTATATGAAGCCACGGTCATGTACTTCGGATTCTGCAACGCACCAGGAACTTTCCAAGTGATGAATAACGTACTCGGTGATTTCATACGAGGAGGAAAAGTCATAGTCTACCTTGATGACATTCTCATCTGTTCGAATGATCTCAAGGAACATCGTAAGCTTACAAAGGAAGTCCTGAAGTGGCTGAGGGAGAATAATCTATTTGCTAAACCGGAAAAATGCTCCTTTGAAAAAAGCAGCATTGAGTACCTCGGCATGATTATCTCCAAAGGACATATCGAGATGGACCCGAAGAAAATTTCAGGAGTAGCTGAGTGGCCACGGCCTACTAAGGTCAAACAAGTCCAAGCTTTCTTAGGCTTTGCAAACTTCTATTGAAGATTCATCAAGGACTTTGCCAAGTACGCCAAACCGCTTACTATGTTGACCAAGAAGGATCAACCATGGGTGTGGGATGTGGTGCAGGAAGAGGCATTCAATGGTCTGAAAGAGACCTTTACCTCAGCGCCCATTCTTCGAATCCCGGATGCAACGTCCCCATTTAGACTTGAGACTGATGCCAGCGACTTCGCGACCGACGCAGTTCTCTCCCAATTGGACCCAACTGACAAGTTGTGGCACCCAGTTGCCTTTTACTCGAAGTCACTCGATGTTCTTCAGTGAAACTATGAGATATATGACAAGGAGATGCTTGCTATCATTCGAGCACTTGAAGAGTATAGGCATTATTTGGAGGGACATTCGGACAAATTCGAGATCTGGTCGGATCATCTTAATCTGGCTTACTTCAAAACTGCCCAGAAGTTAACCAGGAGACAAGCGAGATGGGCTCTGTACCTCACGCGATTCAATTTTATTTTGCGCCATAAGCCAGGAAAAACAATGCTTACCGCCGACCCTCTGTCCAGGAGGCCAGACCATGAGGAGGGGGTGAACCTCGATAATCGAGATCAAACTTTATTGAAACCGGAGTTTTTTGCAATCAATGCAGTCGAGGCCTCCCATGAGTCGCCCGTTAATGACGATCAACTCCTGAGGGAAGTGAAGGAAGCACTCCTACAAGATGATGTGACCAAGAATTATCAGCAATTGCTGAAGTCAGGTCCTAGAGAATTCGGCAAGTCCCTTGTGGACTGGAACTATGAGAATGGATTGTTGCTTTATCGCGGCAAAGTATATATCCCCAACAGCGAGCAGGACCACTTGCGTAGGCGTATAGTTCAAATGCATCATGATCTCCCTTCAGCCGGACATCCCGGAAGGTGGAAGACATATGAACTCGTCTCACGCAACTATTGGTGGCCTAGCATGTCGGTATTTGTCAAAAAGTATGTGACTTGGCTGCGACATTT